AGACTGTCCCTTTCCTATTCTTTTGCTAAAAGGAAGCAGGATTTTTTTGTTTGTTCACTTTGTTTTGTTTTATTTTTGTCTGTGCCGATTGGCGTTACCAGGTTGATGACTTTTTCAGTTCTATGTTTGGGATATGTGAGGCAAAATGAAAACCCAGGGAATTCACCATCGTGTCATTCCCTGGTCCCAAGGTTTCCACTTCTTCTCTGAAATTATCCTCTTTATTTGTTAACTTACTAGTTATTCTCTAACTTCTAGATCTTATCTAGTGGGAAAAGTAGGTTTAGAGTCCATGAATGGGAAACTCAGTTTCTTACTTGTAATAACTGGGTTTTTCTGCTTCGGACTCTGCAGATTGAGACTTACCTGAGAGCAAGGAACCCGTGTTACTTGATCTCTCTGAGCTCTCTGGTTAGACTTCAGAGCTATAAGTTTTCTACTTTTGAACCAGAATTTGTGGGCCTGGACCTGGTCTGAAAATGGCCTGTCAGTGAGTGGTGTCCTATCTGAGCCTGCCTCCCTCTCTGTCTGAGGTTCCCAGGGAGCTGCTTCCCTGGTACTGGTGACACACATGCTGAGGAGCTGGGTCTGGGTATGGTTAAAATTGGAGGAAAGCAGAGGGACCAACCCATCTCAGTTTGCTCAGGATTTTCTTAGTTTCAGTCGTGAAAGTCCTGGGAAGACCAGGATGATTGGTCTCCCTAGGAGAGTCAGAATCATCTCAGCACTTTTCCCAGCTGGATTGGGATGGAAGAGGTTGAGAGGAAGTTGAACTGGTTTGACTTAATTGCTGGGCTGTCCAACTTTGATTCTTCAGCTTCTTGTACTGTTGAGGCAATGTTCTAGCATATGTTCTCCTTAAGACAACAAGCCAAGGAAAATGATGGGCACTTCCTGGCCAGGACCTTATGTGTCCTATAGGTTCTTGCTCAAACTCTCAACTTTTGTATTCTTTTTCAGTGGAGGAGGGAGGTTATGGGGAGGAGGTAGGGACTCCCATTAGGTTACCAGGAACAATTTGAAAGAATTGGCTTTCTTATCTAGCCTGTGTCTATAGTGTGAACCATGAGTGCTATCTAGTTGTGGTTTGGATACAGAGTGAAAAGCCAAACTGATAGCTATATAATATGGCTTGAAATTAAATACATATTTTATAGCAGTGTTTCCTAGTGGTTAATCCAGTGTTTCCCAGTTACTTTGTTTAAGATCACTTGGGGCTTATTAAATACAGATTTGTAGGCCCAACTCCACACACTGTGAGTCAGGAGGTTTGGGGAAGGGACCAGGAAACTACATTTTTATAAGCAACTCATGTAATATTCATGAATCTTGACATTAGAGGGCCATTATTCTGTTGCTCTGTACTATTTAGATGATGTCCTGAGGATATTGGGAGAAATCAGCATCTGATTTAACTTTTTGTGGCAAAGGCCATGAAAAAAATATTTGGGACTCTAGGGGCTTTATTACATACAGTTGACCCTTAAACAATGTGGAGGTTAGGTGCGCTGACCCCTGCCTGCACTGTTGAAAATCTGTGTATAACTTTTGACTTCCCAAAAACTTAACTACTAATAGCCTACTGTTGGCTAGAGGCATTACCCATAACATAAATAGTCGATGAGCACATATTTTGTATATTAAATGCATTACATATTATCTATACTAATAATAGGGGAATATGCAAATTGTCTAGGATGCCATCACAGTAACAGTAATGACCAGCAGGCTGCCTGGGGCGACCAGGCCGGCAGGGGTGTTAGTGAGGGACGACCAAATGACTGAACTGCAGGCTGCGTGGGGCAACCAGGTCGGCAGGGGAGTTAGTGAGGACGACCAAATGACTGAACAGCAGGTTGCGTGGGGTGACCAGGCTGGCGGGGGGCGGGGGGCAGCGCAGTTAGGGGCAACCAGGCCAGCACGGGGGGGGGGGCAGTTGGGGATGACCAAGCCGGCAGAGGGGACAGTAAGGGTTGACCAGGCTGGTGGGGGAGGCAGGGGCGATCAGGTTGGCAGGGGGGGCAGTTAGGGGTGATCAGGCAGGCAGGCTGGTGAGCAGTTAGAAGCCAGTGGTCCTGGATTGTGGGAGGGATGTCCAACTACTGGTTTAGGCCTGATCCCTGAGATTGGCCTAAACCGGCAGTTGGACATCCCTGAGGGGTCCTGGTTTGGAGAGGGTGCAGGCTGGGCTGAGAGAGACCCCCCCGCCCACCCCCACTCTGCACGAATTTTGTGCACCTGGCCTCTAGTATTCTTATAATAAAGTGGCTAGAGAAAATAAAATGGTATTAAAATCATAAGAGAAAATACATTAACAATGTTTACAGAAAAAATCCACATATAAGTGCAATTCAAACCCATGTTGTTCAAGAGTCAACTATTATTTTTCTAATTGTGTAGCATTAGGTTTGGGTAAAATTTAAAAGAGCAATAGTAGCAATCCTCCCAACACCTTACTGATGCCATTCTTTCTACTTTTACAGTGGAAAGAGAGAAAACTTCAATGGAAAGTGACAGACTATCTTCCTAGCTATTTAACAGGTTTGCTTTCAGCTTTACAAGCTTCCCCTAGAATTGAAGGGAAAATTAAAAGAGGGAAATGAATCAAAGTCATAGAAAAGAAGATAGCACTTGCTACTCTGTGTTCAAACTGGGCTCAATTCACAGGAGATCTTTAAGCTATTTTTTGTTGAAGTCAGCATTATCCTCCCCCACCCCCACACTTTAATCACACCCGCTGCCATCAGATGTCTGGTATTTTAAAAATAACATTTGTAGAGAGAGATTTATTTCATTATAAATCCAGATGACATGTTAGCTTGGAATTTGGCTTTTTTCCTACCTCAGGCAGAGTTACGCTTATGTAATAATTGTTTGCACTATCAGAGAGTGCTATTGATATGTCATTCAGCTGGTATGTTCAAACTCCAGATGTGGGCTAACTTGCAAATTGTGATCCTGGGTGTGGCTGTTTGATTCACTGTAATGGGCTAATCTGGGCCCTGTTACAGTTAATAGCAACTTTCATGGTAGCAGTGGTGTATGGGGTGGGAGTGGCTGTACTATAGGCTTCGTAATATTCAGGATTAAATTGAGGCTGTATGTGAGTCTAACAATGGTCCAAACTAAGGATAATTAAAAAATGATTTAGAAGTATACTCTTAAAATTTATTATAAATTACCTTATAAATACATGCTAGTGAAGCCATTTCGTTCTGGCTTTTGTCCCCTACTTGCAGGGCTTAGCCCTCTTCAAATTCAAATGGGGCACCCTGGCCAGTGTGGCTTAGTTGGTTGGAGCATCATCCCATACACCAAAGGGTGGTGGGTGTGATTCCTGCTCAGGGCACATACCCAGGTTGTAGGTTCAAACCCTGGTCAGGACTGTGTGGTAGGCAATTGATCAATGTTTCTCCCCACCCCCCAAATAAATCTCAAATGGGGCATTTCACACCTGCTCTCAAAGTCTGGGTGCCCCTGTGACCACCACATTTATTTCCTTTTCCATTTCAACCATCAGGCCCTGATTCCACATCTGCTGGTGCCCTCTTCATCTAAATTAGATCTTCTTTATACTTTCTTCTAAGCTTAGATTACCTCCTTCTTCCCCCAACTTCCCAGAAATTTGTCGCTTTTCATCTCCCTGTGTTCAAGACACTGGGTAGAGTTTCTCATAAAGTCTGAATTTTTCTTTCTTGAACAAAGGGGCTTGTGAAGAGGATAGGGACTAGGGTCCTAATATAGGTGGTCCAAAGTCCTTTATTATATGGTGAGTTAGGAACACCATATCTCAGTCAGATGATAAGTGTGAACTTACACATAGCATTTTAAGAAAGCAGGAAATGCCTGTGCCCCACCACCTCTTCATTTAGTGCCTTTTCCTCTCTTTCGGTTCTCCTTCCCAGACAAGGTGTCAATGTCAAGCAAGATGCATGTCAGTCAGGCCAGGAGCCCGGGGCCTTTCTTATATCTTCCCCACACAGACACCTACCTGTCCTAGTTAAGGAGGTTCCTCTCAGCCTGTTAGAAAGCAATCAAAACATCATCTCCTTTCTATACCCCAAGTGTTAAGGGCCAAAAAAACAACTTTAAGAGTATTTGTATTTTTTTTTTCTTTTTTTTTTCCAATTTTTATTCTACATTTTTAGTATAAAAAAATCCACAAGTTAAGTGCACCACAGTGTAGAGAGAGAGACATACAACGCTTAACTTCCATAACAGTCAATGGTACAGTCAAACATCACATGTACAGAACACAAAATTTAGATGAACTGAAATTATAAAAACCCAATTGCAAAAAACAAAAATTAAAATATTAAGGATCCCTGAAATATTCTTAACCCTAATGAGATTTCACTGGACTCAAGTCATTGTGTAGAGGCATTCACACGGCCCCATTAACCCAGCTTAGGAATTACTGGGAGCCATGAGTGGCTGCATCAGACATTTGGACAATAAATGGTAACCAATTTTTTAATCTGACAACTCCCCTTAATTTGGCTCTAAAGTCATCAGGCTTATGAAATACATCCTCCTCCTTGCCCTCCCCCACTCTCCCCCCCCCACACACACATTTTAAACAAACTGTTGTTTATAGTTTGTGTTGCTATCCTTTGTTCAAATAAGATGTTTTTCTGGCACCAAAGCAAATTTGGGTTTGGTTCATGTATGAAGAGAGCCTATGAGGAGGGTCCAAAAGGCACCCTCCACTTTTGCCTGAGGAGATGCAAAAACAGAAATAATGGGGTCTGTGCTTTGGGCACAGACGGGGTTTCAGAGGATCCTTGTGAAAGACAAGTTAACGATGACAGGTGGGGACAAGTGCAAGGAGAGAAGGAAATGAGTCTGACTGGCTTTCTGTCCTGCACCACTGATTCAATGGAGATTGGCGGGAGGGAATGGAAGATGGGTTGGGCGTGGGATGTGGGACAAAAGGTGGAAAAGGCAGACAACTAATGCATTTCACTTAAAACAAGCAATATAAATCAAAGACTTAAAGATTAAAGACCAATCAGAATAATTTGGCAACTTTAATTCTTAGGAAGATCAAAGTTCCCTCCAAACCTAATTTGATGTTTTATTACTAAAAGCAAAGACCAGTATGGTACAGTATTACTCCAGAGGAATTAAAGGAAGATTTTTAGGGCTGTTTCACCCACATTCATTTTATGAATGGATACCTCCCCTACCTCAAAATGCATTAGGGAGGTACTGCTACCATTACATGGTTCCTTATTAAGTTTGAAAAGTGCCTGAAATTTTGGGCACCAGAAAGACACCCCAACAACATGTGTCTTAAACTGCAACTTCAGGTTAATATGACTAAAGCAGTTACATTGTGAGAAGTGCTGAAGGTATGTGATGTCTTTCCCGGCACAGAGGTGGCCTTGGGTCTTCACCAGATGGTGTAGCCACCATCTGAACCACCCATGAAGAAGTTCCCCTTCCGCTGAGTTACGAGGACGTTGGCTCCCTGCATGACTGCAAGCTGAGCAGCATTGGGAGGGCATCCAGGGGGTGGAGGAGGAATGTTGCCAGCAGTAGCCCCAGCTCCGAATCTGGCACCTGCATCATACCCGCCTTCCACCAGCACTGTTGAACCAGGTGGATAGATGGGGCCAACTGGATAGTAAGCCATGGGGATTGTGGAGCCTAAAGGCCCAACAGCCACAGACTGGGCGGCCATGGGAAGATACAGTGAGGCGCCAGGAAATGCAGCTGACATGGTGGGGACGGTGGCAGCCCCTGGGTGCACAAAGCTCGGACGATAGAGCTCTGAGTAGGCGGGCGGAGCATCGGCATCGGTATAGGGTGGAGCCTGAGGGAGATGCAAGATCTGAGGGTACACTGGGTTCCCAGGCGGCTGCACAGGGTAAGTTGGCTGCGTTGGATATTGACCTTTGCTGTTCATGGTGGCTGCGGGTCCGGTTCGGCTCGGCGTCGCGGACCAGAGTATTTGTATTTTAACAATAGACTTTTGGATATAGAAAAATTAACCCCTGAAGGTGACATTTTTCAGCATCATACCAGGCTGGCTAGTAATAGAGGTGTGTGTGTGTGTGTGTGTGTGTGTGTGTGTGTGTGTGTGTGTGTGTGTGTGTAAACATTTTCCCTTTCACTTCTTTAGTTTAAAAACAAATTAAGTTACACACATTTATTATGCCATCCCCCAGTTCTGCTTTACTTGAGGTACTCAATATTGACAGCCTGGGACGTATCTTTCCACATATTTCCCTGTGTTATATAGGAACACCCCACAATTTATCCTAATGATAAACATTCAGCTTGTTTTAAATTTGGGGTCACTGTCAACAGTCCTTCAGCAAACATATCTGAACATACAATCTTATCTATTGATTCTTTTATTTGTAGGATAGTTTCATAAAAGTAGGATTATTCAAGGTACATGCATTTAATAGATACTTCCAAGTTACTTTCCAGATATATAGCCATTTACTTGTCCACCAAAAACATGTAAAGATGTTTATATCTTCATACCCTTTAATACTGGATTTTATACATTTTATTTCATTTCTGCCACAGTCTGTTCGCAGCTGTGATTATTTTAATTTATTTTAATTTCCATTTATGCCATTCCCTTAGGATGCCCCTGTCAGTGGTGAGGGTGTTGTAATGCACCCCGTGAGTAACACACAGGACGCAAAATCAAATCAATGAGTCATTTAATCAATGAAGCCGGCGACTGCGAGAGAGATGCGGCTCCAAATCTCGCAGTGCCGAATGCCCGTAACATCAGACTTACATAGGCAAATATCACAAAGGCATTGATTACATCTCTAGGTTTGGAATGAGGACCCTGGTTTGCAAAAGCAGTTTGTTACAGAAGCTAAATTGAGCAAGTTAGTTATCTTACAAAGATTAATTATAGTTTCAGGTTTTGGGACCAGAGTCAACAGAAACACATTTTCTGGAGCAATTAAAGCAATTGTGTGTCCTGGTCTCCAGGTGCAAAGGAATGTGTTTTGAAAGACCAGTAAAACCACAATCAATGGGGTATTCAATCGAATGGGATGATTTATATAAGTTCAAAAAATCAAAATAATTTCTCTATTATTTTAGCAAGCAAATAAGTACAGAAGCCAGAATAGCAGGGTTAAAAATTAAGCAGCCGTTTTTACCTGAGGTGATGGCTACCATGCTTCAAGGGTTCTTTCTTAGAGGCTGGTCCTAATGGCACCTTTGCAGCTAGCTGCTCTCAGGCCTCCATGGCTATTTTCTCCAGGTAAGAGCTGAAGAAGCAGCTTCAGTGAGTACAGTGGATTTTAGTCATAGGAGCTGATGTGCACTGTATGAATTTAAAACTATCAAAAAAGATGGATATCATGTAAATGCCACTGGAAAGGTTACAGGGGTGAGGAGGAATGAGTAGATAATATAAGTGTACAGATGCTGTGGGTGTTCTGGCTTCACCCAGCTCTGCAGTGGTCACCCTGTCAGCGTGTGCCTTGCTCTGCTGTGCTCTCTGCAGGACCTATGGGAGCTCCCTGCAGGAACGGAGGACCTTCCAGTGGCTAGCATTTTGGGTTTAGAGAGAGGAGCACATGGAGTGAGGGGAGTGGAGTGGTAAGGACTCCCCAGAGCGAGCAGCTTCCAAACCTTCCTTACACCCTTCCTTCTAAAACCACATCCATCTTCCCGTGGTGTCTCCCTTTCCTAAGGTTTTCCTGGCTCTTAAGCACCCCTCAACCCTATTTGCTTCAGCTATGAAAACCTCTCAGCCCTTTTTTTAGAAGTGTACCCCCTCTCAATGTCCTTTGCTGCATAATGAATGAATTTTTCTAAAAGTGACTTTCCAGGTGAGATGTGAGTGGGTACAGTGTATGGGCTTCTTTGTTCAGAGGGGCCTCAAGAGCAAAGGATTAGTCAGCCATGTTGCTCTTGATCAGAAAGGTGATCAGCATCGCGAAGGCCCCAGGGGCCATTAGACCCTGCGGTCGGGACAGCTAGGCATGGACCCTTCAAGTGGACAGCTTGTGCCAGGAGGGGTGGCAGAGGAAGCTAAATAAGCTCTTAGAAAATGGATGAAATTATAAAAGCTGCAGGCTGTGACTTTACTATGTGGTAAAAACAACTGTTTTGCTGGCTGACGTAACTTCGGTACTGTCGAAGTTATGAAATCTACAAACAGTATTTCAAGAGGAGTTTTCCTGTGAGAGCTGCTTACCAGGCTGCTGCTTTGCTCAAAGGAGGCGGTGTTGAGGTTGAAACAGGAGCGATCCAAGGCCCTCTCACAACAGCATCACCCTAGGGGTCCTGGTGTTATTTAATTTGCAATTTAATAATGTTTTTAATTTAACATCTTAATTTTTACAACTGATGTTGAAAAGTGTAAGCTGACTAAAATATCTGAAGTATTATGGAAAATACCATATAGTAAGGGGAATGGCCGTGATTGAAGAGTAGATGATGAATCCAGTTACCGATGTTATAAATTTCACTTATGTATCACTCTTATTACTAGACATGAGAAAAGAGACATGCATTACATGGTTCCTCAAAAAGTAAAACTAAAGGGGAATAACATGTAGGGAAGATGAGTTACTATTCCTGAAAAATAATAAAAAGTACACTTAATTCATTGAAATCCTATTAATTTAATGATTTGAAATATTTAATTATCATGTCAGATATATGATTCTGCTTTTATTTGAGTAAAATTAAGAATTTAAGTTTGAATGGTAGAGGTAAAGAAGAAGTGGACCAAAATTTTATACAGCTAATATTTTTCTAATGGAAATAAAATAGACATGCAGATTTTCTTGTTTGTTTTTTTAAAATATATTTTTATTGATTTGGAGAGAGAGAGAGAGAGAGAGAGAGAGAGAGAGAGAGAGAGAGAGAGAGAAACATCAGTGATGAGAGAGAATCATTGATTGGCTGCCTCCTGCACGCCCCCTACTGGGGACCAAGCCTGCAACCCGGGCATGTGCTCTGACCAGGAATTGAACCGTGACTTCCTGGTTCATAGGTCAGTGCTCAACCACTGAGCCACACCAACCTGGCAGCATGCAGATTTTCATAAATAAACAATAAATAAATGTGACTTTCTACCTCTCCTTCTAGTCAGCACCCTTGATTCTCTGCTCTGCTTTGCTCTGTCTCACTCAGATTTGGATGTCTCTTAGGCCAGAGCTGTGCTATAATCCTGTTGTGTATTGTAGCTTTCCTCTGAGGCATAAGCTTTCTTTCTTTCTCTCTCTTCCTTCTCATCCAGCATGCTATGAAGCAGGCACCCCAGTGCAATGCATGCTAATACTCTCTTGGGGGTGTTTTTCTCCATACGGCAGTGAATATAATCTGGTTAAATAGCACTGATGTACGAGAGTCTGCCTGACTCAAGTAATTACAGAGTTTATGACTAGAGCAGCATTCAACCCCAAATCAGCTGGATTACTTTTCAGAAATCCATTCTGAAAATGGTGCCCTGCAAATGATGCCTTTTGCATGAAGCACTGGGCACAGAGACTGCTCCTTCTGGGTCTTCATATAACCTCTCATCCATTGATTGGCAAAAATCAATGAGAAGTGATAGCACCTGCTGCAGGCAGGTATTTTGGAGGAAAAGGTTCAAGAGCAGTGGTTCTCAACCTTCCTAATGCCGCGACCCTTTAATACAGTCCCTCATGTTGTGGTGACCCCCAACCATAAAATTATTTTCGTTGCTACTTCATAACTGTAATTTTGCTACTGTTATGAATCGTAATGTAAATATCTGATGTGCAGGATGTATTTTCATTGTTACAAATTGAACATAATTAAAGCATAGTGATTAATCACAAAAACAATATGTAATTATATATGTGTTTTCCGATGGTCTTAGGCGACCCCTGTGAAAGGGTCGTTTGACCCCCAAAGGAGTCGCAACCTACAGGTTGAGAACCGCTGTTCTAGAGGCATACCTCAGAGATACTGTGGGTTTGGATCCAGATCATTGCAATAAAGTGAGTATTGCAATGAAGCAAGTTGTAATCTTTTTGTTGGTAGAGGGTCTTGCCTTCAGTTTGTAAAACAAAACAAAACAGAATGCAACATTTATTAAGCACAATAAAGTGAAGCACAATGAAACAAGGTATGCCTGCTGAAGGAAATGAGAAATCAATATTACAGAAATAGAAACACCAGAAAATAAGCATATATGTACAACAGTATTTATCACAGTATTGTTTATAATGGCAAAACCTCATAAAGCAAATGCCCATTTGGAGGACAAAGACTGAATAAACTGATATATTCACATCATGGATTTTCTCACTATGTATTGTACATATATAAAATAAAATGTTATGTGTGCAAAAGAAATAATAACAAACCACCATATATGCCAGTAAATACAGTGTATATGTTTATGTATCATTAAATAATGAAAATGGAGAAAGGTGTGTTCATATCAGTTACTTAAGAAGTTAGTGTCCAGCAAAAAGAACATTTTTTAAAAATATCATTTACATATTGTTATGTTTCTATGCAGAAAGAGATGTTTTAAAAGATGGTGATCAGGATGTTAATCATATTTATCTTAAGGTGATTTGATTTCAGGTGATTTTCCTTTCTTTCCAGACTTTTCTGAGCCATTTGAATTTATAACAGTGAGCATGTGTTTAAAAAACAACTCAGAAATTAACCAAAACTATTTTCAAGGCAATGAAGAGCTTGTGATAAGTAGCCAGAATCTTACTTCTGGGTTCCCCTCAAACTTGGGGTCCAAATAGGATCCTATATAACTAGTATGCATAGAGCTCATGGGTTATGCTCCTCCTGTGTGTATTCATTTTTTCCATTTATTTATTCATTTATGGTCAACAAATATATATTTAGCATTCATGATTACCACGTACTGCTCTAGGCATTCGGGCTGTAATGGTAGAAATATTAGATGAAGTCCCTGCCCCCCTAAAGCTTATGAATTACTGGAGGTTGGCACAGAT